ATTTATTCATCTTGAAATTAAATTATAGCATTATTAATAGACACTAAAAACTATTACGTTTTAGACATTCCTACCAACTTTAGTACATGTACTAAATTACAATAAATTGGCATACTCCGCCAAAATTGTTATTATAAAAAAGCTTTTGATCTGTAAAGACGTGGTGCATATTGAATTTTATTTTTATCAAACATACTTATGCGAGAAACTATTGAAGCTATATGTGAAATGTTAAACACAATAAATTTCAGCAAATAAAACCATATGTGACATCAAATATTCCTATGTGAGAAACTATTGAAGTTATAAGTGAAAATACCAAACACAACAAATACTAATAAAGAAATTGTGCGTGATGCAGTTCTTGCATATATATTCAAATTCACTACAATCCTAAAACCATAAATCTTAAATCAAATTAAGTTCCCAAATTAAATGTTGATTTAAAAATTAAATTAAATTAACTATTATTCCTCAAAATTACAGATTTCTTCTAAAACTATATTGTGGCCTCAACATATGTTTCCCCATCAATTATACATCTTAGACAACAACAAAACCTATCAAAGTGACCAATATATGCAATTTGCACCGGCACAAATTATAAAATATTATATTGGTTATTAATAATATTCTTCAATTATCTATTAAGTGATACAAAGTGTGAAATAGTGTTATATACAGAATTATTTGAAATTTTCTATAAACTATATAAATTTATAAATAGGAAATTCTTTGTTTACCAAACAAGCATCATATAATTCATGTGTGTCATACCGCTTTGCAACTATTATAATTTATTCTTTACGAACATCAATGTCAAACCAAATCATGTACGTATACGTAAATAGTACAAGTACACTTATTTTAACTGAGATCTCTCAACAAAATGTGCAATTAATAATATTTACTTTTTTACCAATTAATAATTAAACCAAGTCATTAAATCCTTAAAATTCAATTCTTTCAAAGCTAAATATAAACTTAAGTACTGTTTTTTTAATGTTATTTGAACTGAACTCTTAACAAATTTTATTTTTATTTTTTATTTTTTATTTTTTACTCAGGTCTCTTATGGATGTATCTACAGATGATTTAACTCATATCTCTTTAACGTAAGTTACCCTTAAGAATGAAAATTCAAAGTTAAATTAAATTATAAATATACATTATACATTAATGTTGTCCATGAAGCCAATGTATTTAACAAATCTAACATAGGTCTCTTATGGATGATTCAACTGATGATTTAACCTTTGCCTCTTTAATGCATGATATAGAATCTAATTTCAGTATGCAGAGTATGGGACCTAATTCTAAACCTGAAATCATGACGGAGAATCCTTCATCAACTATAATTTGTAAATATAACAAGTTTACATATTTATTATACATTTACAATAATTTCCTATTTAGCCTTTCCAAATTCACCAACCACTACTCAGGATCCAAGTTTATGTTCAATGATTAATTTTGCCTAAACTATAAAATCAAATTCCCAAGTACTAATGGTTCCCAGCCCAGTCCAAGAACAAATGGAAACCAGAACCAAAGCTGATTTAATTAGTGAAAATTGCGGTGCAAACATAGGTCAAAATCAAATTAGTGATCGAATAACAGGGCCAATGTGTTATACTACAAATATACCAAACTTACAACTGGATGTAAATCAAACCCGTCAACATCATGATTCACTTGCTATCGACCAAATAATTAATATATCGAATATCGAAAGTAAGTGTGATTAATTAAACATATTGTTCATGATTAATAATTAATAATTTAGCTACCCCAACCGCATTAGGTCCAAATGTGGATTCAGTACCAATTATTGTACATATGGATGAAGAACATACATCCCCAATAATACAGGCTGTAGATAATACTAATCAGAATTTAAGCAATGAGCATGTGGTTATAGATTTGACAGAGACAATGAACAACGTTATGACTTCCAACCCTCTAATGAACACCAATAAAACCCGAGATATATATATATATTAGTTCAAATTGTAATGTATTAAAATAATTTAATGGTTAGGGATCGATTTTATCTATTGTAATGGTTAAGGATCGATTTTATCTATTATATGTTCAACCAATAAAACACTACAAATTAAATATCCCCATAACTTTATATATAAGTCATATCCAACTTTAATTGATTGAATATATTATTCTCCTTAACTTAGATCTTTTAACACCAAATCAAGACAAATCACCAGCTATCTCCAAACCTACTTCTGAAACTATATTGTCTACCTCAACTGCTCTAATTGAAACCCCGGACATGCAATTGAGTACATATAATGTTAATTTAAATGAAACAAATCCATGTAACTTTTATGGCGGTCGGTTACCTCAAAATGTACTTTTTTCAACATTGTATCCAAAAATGATACCTGGTGGGTTTCATAACCTAAGTGGTCGCCAGGTACCAAAGGAAGTGCAAATATTATTGAGCTTCGGCCCAAAGTATAGCCCTATCAAAACACCTACTATAGAGGACTATTACGTAGCATTGGATAGCTATAATGAAATATATCAGAATCAATTTATAAATTTAAACTACCAAAGTCCCTTAGAGATGCAGCTGCATTATACTGAATTTTTAAAAGCCATGGAACATTATCAAGAACCTCAGCAAACTCAACAAATATTATTTCAGTTGTATAAGTTTACCTCCGAATATTTACAATCACAAAAAGATTTGATAATAATACAAGCAGATAAAGGCCAGTCTACATGCTTGATGAAAAAATCTGAATATATACAGAAGATGCATGTGTGTATAAACCATAACCTAGAGATAGGATCCTACATTTTGTATACAGAAAACCAACGAGCCTTGTTTAATTGCTTAGCTGCAAAATATCGAAGAATAGTTAAGCCACTTATTAGATGGCATCGACAGGAACCGTCTTCATTTCCAAAGTCTATACTAATAAGCTTGCAACAAATGTTAACAATATCCAGTCCTACCTTACCATATCTATATGGCACCGTGAAATTACACAAAAAGGAGCAACCTATGAGGCCCATTTGCAGTCCGCTAGGTTGGTACATCCATCCACTCCATCAGTTAATACATCATGTGTTAAAAAAGACCTTGTCAAACCGCATGTCCGCACACAATCTGACCAATATGAGCTGTTTAACAGGGCATATCTTACAGCTTCAGCCTTTACCAGGTTATGTATTCGTGTCCATGGACATAAGAGACATGTATCCAAGAACCAATATAACATCCCTATGGCGCACCTTGAAAAATCTTATGTGCTTGCCTTGGTTTCTTGAATCATGTCCCATACCCATATCAATGCTTAATATGGCATTAGAGTATATATTAAATACTGGGAACTATTTTACCTTTGAAGATAAATGCTATATTCAGGCAGAAGGGTTACCACAGGGAGGTGCAGCCTCTGGAATCCTAGCAACAATTCATCTCGACTCCCAAATAGAGATCCACACTCCAGCTTTATTTCATAAGCACAAAGTGCATTCTTGGTGGAAGTACGTCGATGATGTCTTATTATATATGTCACGACACGATATACCTTCTTTTATGGAGGTCAGTATCATTATATATGCTCCTATGGGCCTAATGTGTTATTACGGAATGTTTTGCATATTGGGTATTTGTGTAAAGTTTCTGCATTATATTATTTATGATGTAGGGGATTTATACATTTACGTTACATTTTCATTATTGACAGTTAACGTTGCAAGCTGCTGCAACCTAGTTAGCACCATCATGTGATAGCTACATATATATAAATGTAAGTTTTGTACGGGTTTCCTTCCCAATCCAACAGGTGATATGAATTTTTGTTGATGTCCGCGGTTGTTGCTGAGCGTGAGAAGAACCAAAAATACCACAGAAAAATTTTGTGCGAATCACTTCATAAAATTTAACTTTATTCCACCTAGGTCTCCGCATTTTGGTGGTCTTTGGGAGGCAACAGTTAAAAGTGTCAAGGGATATTTATTTCGTTCGCTGGCTAATGTCAAGATGACTATCGAAGAATTGATGACAGCATTAATTGAAATCGAAGCTGTTATGAACTCACATCCTATTTCGCCTCTCTCTAACGATCCAAACGACCTAGAAGCGCTGACACCAGGTCATTTCTTGATAGGAGCACCAATTAACTTGTTGCCGGAGCCAATTGTTGACAATCACGATCTCACTCATTTAAAGCGTTGGAAACGTATCGCCGCTGTCAAACAGCAATTTTGATCCAATGAATATCTACGCGAACTTATTCAACGTCATCGCTGAACAAGCATCAAATCTAATATTAAATTAAATGACTTAGTCATCGTTCACGAGGATTACTTGCCACCACAGAAGTGGGTAACTGGTTGAGTAATAGCAACACACGTTGGATCGGACAGATATATTAGAGTCGTGGATATTGAAACTCAGGGTGGAGTTCTTCGTCGATCCATACATAAGCTGACGTTGCTCCTTGACTCTTAAAAGGCGATCCTTTCAAGGCCCCCGGAATGTTCAGAATACATTGTAAACAAAAAACCAAATATGTATTTTAATTTCATTATATGTAAAACTGTAAATTATTTGCCATATGGCAACCCTGCCAAGCACGAGCCTTCGTGCATTTTACTTAAAATAAAGTAGTTATTCGTTGATAGTCAAACGAAGCGGTCATGTTTAAAATCGTTGTCTTTTTTTAACGTTTGTGGTTATTAAGATTAGCCCGTGTGCTACCAAGAAATCGCCTGTGCGCGCATAAGTAACTTTATTAGACTCAATCGTACAAACCACTTAAAAAAGAGTTAGATAGAATGAAAGAATTAAAAGCTATAACTGAAGTCACTGAACCAACTGAGTGGGTGAGTGAGTTAGTTCAATTGTGTTAGTCACTAAGCAAAATGGCAATATCCGTTTATACTTAGATCTTAGTAATTTAAATAAATCTATTGTAAGGCCCTCTCCGGGAATTGCGACCTTCGCGTAGCAAAGTAACCCAGGAATGGCATCACTTAATGATATGCTTGATTCAGGTGAGAAGTTATTGGCAGATTTAACTTCGATATTGCTAAGATTTCGTTGTCACAAAATTGCAATGAGTGCAGATATAGAAAAAGCATTTTTACAAATTTCATTAAATCAGAATGATAGAGATAGTCATCGTTTCCTCTGGTATAAAAATTTAAGAGATGATAACAAACCAGCGGAAATTGCAACTTATCGAATGGCAAGGGTAACTTTTGGTGTAACATCTAGTCCTTTCTTGATAGCGTCGACAATGCAGCAACATCTGCAAGGCAATGTTGAGCAATATGGTTTAATATGTGACAAACTAAAAAACTCATTTTACGTAGACGACTTAATAATTAGTATATCAACTGTTCAAGAAGCTGAATATTTATACCTCATTGCAACGAAAATAATGAAAATAGGAGGTTTTAATTTGCGGAAGTGGACCTCCAACAGCGAAGACTTACGACGAAAATTTGAAGAAAATAATGAAGAGCAGCATCGGATACAAAAGGTGCTTGGCGTTTTATGGAACATTTATGAAGATAATTTATTCATAAATTTAGATCACTGTATAGAGATTTCTCGGAATTTAAGACCCACTAAACGCAATGTATTAAAGATTATGGCTGGAGTTTATGATCCCTTAGGATTTTTAAGTCCGTTTACTGTAAAAATCAAAACACTATTGCAGAGGATATGGAAAGAAAATTTAGACTGGGACTCTACCTTACCTGAAAGCTTAGCGAATGATTTTAATAAATGGTGTGATGATTTACATAATTTAAAATATTTTACTATTAGTCGATGCCTGGTAAGATCCAATTTGTCAACAATTCAACTACATGTATTTGCAGATGCGAGCCCGATTGCATACGGAGCTGTTGCATACCTACGAGAAATTTTGTCTAGTGGCAAATTATTTACAAGCTTTATATGTTCTAAAAACAGAGTAAGTCCTATTAAAAATAAAAATAAAAGCGAACTCACTTTACCAAAGTTAGAGCTAACAGCCGCGCTTATTGCAGCCAAATTAGCAAATTTTTTAAAGCTTGAGTTAAACATAAATTTTTCTTCTATTAACATGTGGACAGATTCAAGTATAGCTCTGCAATGGATAACTGGAGACGGTAAACAAGTAAAACAAAATATCAGCTCAAAAGTAAGTGAAATTAACAAACTAACAAATGTATATGACTGGCGTCATTGTGATGGCAAATGTAATCCAGCAGATCTGTTAACTCGTGGTATAAAAGCCAAACAATTGATGCAGTCAGAATTACGGAAATGGGGTCCATCATGGCTTATCATGGAAAGCAACGAATGGAATATAAGCAAAATTGAGGATAGCGCAACTCTTATCACAAAAGTACTTCAAGAAGAGAATGTTTGCAATATATCTAAGGAAACTATATCTGATATACAAAAGTTTAGTAATTTACGGAAATTGTTAAGAGTTACCGCATACGTATTTCGATTTTTAAGGAATATAAAAAATAAAGGAATTCAGCAATCTATCAATTCTGAATTGGAGAAGATTGATGATTTGACTCTAGAGGAATTAAATAAAGCGGAAGTTTATTGGATTGGTTGTGCACAAAGTGAGTATTTTTTGTCAGAAATAATATCGTTGAAGAAAGGACAAAAAATTGGAGCGGATTTAAAAATTTTGCAATTGAATCCCGTTTTAATAGATGGGTTACTGCAACTTTCTTGTCGTTTACCAACGACTGAGTATGAAAATCTAAGCAATCCAATTATATTACCAAAGGAGTCATATTTATCTAAGTTGATTGTTTTGGAAGCGCACCAAAAGTTTATGCACAGTGGAATTAATGCTACCTTAGCTAAGATTCGAAAGAGATTTTGGGTTGTTAAAGGCCGGCAACTTATTAAAAGCGTTGTACAGCGGTGCATAATTTGCAAAAGGCTGCATGGGAAAAATGCATCTGAAAACTGGACGGATTTACCTATCGAACGGGTCACTGTATCCAAACCATTTGAAACCACTGGCATAGACTTTGCTGGTCCATTATATATAACTTCTACTGACAACAAAAATGATTTTAAAAAAGCGTATATAATGTTGTTTACCTGTGCAGCAACTAGAGGAATCCATTTGGATCTGGTAGCAGATTTAACTGTTGAAAGCTGTATAAACGCACTAAGAAAATTTATTGCAAGGCGTGGCACCCCCTCTATTATTATATCAGACAATGCGAAAACTTTTAAAAGAGTGTTGTATGGAAGTGCAAAAGCTTGAACAACTAATGGAGAAAACCAGAATCAACCAATTTGCTGTAGCCAATGGCATTAAGTGGAAGTTTATTCCAGAACGTGCAGCGTGGTGGGGTGGATTTTGGGAGCGGCTTGTACGAACTGTAAAAAACTGTTTAAAGGCAGCAATTGGGAAAGCAAGGCTGACTTTTTATGAAATGGATACTTTACTAACAGAAGTAGAAAGTGTAGTAAATCAAAGACCACTCACCTATATTACTACTGACTGTAACGATTTGGCGCCGTTAACACCTGCACATTTTTTGGGAGAATGTGGTGTGTTAAGCAAAGAAAATTTCTTGTCTGACGGCAGCACTATAGCAAAAATGTGGTAATCACGAACTTATATTTTAAAGCGTTACTTAAAACGATGGCAGGACGAATACTTAACTAATTACGCTCAATTCATCTTAATAAGTCTAAACCAACAAAATCTATAAATATTGGCGATGTAGTATTGGTCAAAGATGAACATCAATCAAGACTTCTTTGGCGAATGGCAGTGGTGGTAGCTACTTACATTAGACGAGATGGGCGTGTCAGAGCGTGCGATGTCAGACTCAAAGACCAGAAAATTATGAGAAGACCTATTCAACTACTATATCCGCTTGAATTAATATGCGATTCGCCGGGTCCCAGGATGTAAAAAATATCCCTTAATATCATAAATATCTCTTATCTCTTATCATGAATTAATATTTTAATCTCTTTTTTTTTAACTTTATACTTACTATTGAATTATTCTTTTTTGTTAAAAGCAGTAATAAATGCACACTCGCAGCATACAGTTGTATTTTATTTCATGTGAAGACTATATTTTCTAAACCCATATTTAACAAAATTAAACTTTCATGCCAAAACCAAACACAATATCGAACATCATATTGAAACAACTCCTGGGACACCAGTGTTTTGCAAACCACGTCGTCTATCTCCAGAAAAATTGTAGATTTATAAAGTACTTCCAATAGTAGTTGGTGAAGTATAATTCACATATTTAACAAAGCTAATGGTAAATGGAGAGTCTGTGGTGGTTATCACAATCTTAATGCTACAACGATTCCCGACAGATATGTAGTGCCACACATTCATGATTTTGGATCTTTTCTTGATGGCAAAACAATATTTAGTAAATTAGATATAACCAAGGCATATCATCACATTCCCGAAGCTAATGAAGATATAAAAAAAACTGCTGTCACAACACCATTCGGAAATTTTGAATTCACAAGAATGGCATTTGGGTTATGCAATGTTGCACCTACCTTCCAAAGAAATATGAATCAATTAATGCAAGGTTTGCAATACGTTTATGTCTGCATCGATGACATATTTATTGCATCAGGATACACATGTTTTATTTGGTGAAGATAGTTGAATTAAATTGAATTAATTTGATAATTTAATTGATTTAATAATTTAATTAAATAGTTTTTATAACATTTATAACTATATTGGAAGAATAATAAATATTGGTAAAATATATAGAGGAAAATTGCCAAGATTACAATAGAGGATATAATATGGTAAAATTGAGGTATTGTTGTTATTAAGGTGAGCAGTTGTGAAATATCAATAAATCTAATACATATGAAATGCAGATGCTTGGTGGTGCTATATATTTATGTGGTTTGTGCTTGTGTTCTTATAGTCAATAAGTTTGGAAATATAAACAGAATATATGATAACAATAATATATTTAATGATATTAATGGTGTTGGATGACATATATTAAAATTAATGTAGAAGTTTTATATAATAATTGAGTCTTATGATAAAGTGGTTTAATTATATTTTATGGAAGTTATACATTTGTTTGAGTGTTAAAGATAGTGTGTGGATAAAGTATAAGTATAATAATAACAATCATAATATCTAATCATAACAATAATTGATATAAAAAAAGAAAGGCAGAAGGAATATGGAGAAATTTTCAATTATTGGAGTATAGATAATAACAAATTATTGTAAATTATTATTATATATTGTATATAAAATATTTATTGCATCAAAAAGTGTAACTGAACATATTTAGCACTTAAAAGAAGTACTGCAGCGTTTACGCAACTTTGGATTAACTATTAATAGTGAAAAATGTTCATTTGCGGTTGGTGAAGTCGAATTTTTAGGATACTAGGTATCCTCCAATGGCATTCAACCACTTCATGCTAGAGTTACTGCCATATTGGACTATCAATTATCAAAAACAGTACTTGATTTAAAAATGTTTTTGGGTATATTGAATTTCTATAGACAATTCATTCCAAAAGCGGTAGAACCTCAAGCAATATTGCACAGCATACCAACAGGAAATGTGAAAATTGATAAAACAGTCATCGCATGGACTGAGGAACAGCAGCAGGCATTTAATGCATTCTGTGCTATCCAAAACATACCTCATTGACAGTTGATGTATAAGATTCTACGCTGGGAGCTGTACTACAACAAAAAATTGACGGCGAGTGGAAACCGTTTTTTATTTTTCGAAAAAACGAACGAACACACAAATGAAATACAGTGCATACGATAGGGAATTATTAGCGATTTATGCAGCAGTAAAACACTTCTTATATTTTTTAGAAGGTCGGCAGTTTACTATTTTTATTGACCATACATTTTTGTTTGCTTTCAAACAAAAACCGCAAAAGGCGTCACCGAGACAGTTAAGACATCTGGATTTCATTTCGCAGTATACTACGAATATCTAGCATATAAGTTAACAACGCAAACATTTAAGACCTTTAAATTCGCCAGTAGTCAGCAAATAGATCACTTTTTAAATAAATGTTATTATAGCCATTTTATTATACTAATTGTAAAATATTAATAATAAAATATAATAATAAATATATGTAATCGACTTTTAGACACTGCGTCAGCATAAGATCATATGTCTATACCCATTTTATTATACTAATTGTAAAATATTAATAATAAAATATAATAATAAATATATGTAATCGACTTTTAGACATTACGTCAGCATAAGATCATATGTCTTTTTTTGCATTCTTATGCTGAAGTAAGTGCCGTACTAAATAATCAATAAATCAAAAAACAGTTTTATTAAAGCGCTTCATTAGGAGCTAAACTAAATTTGTGTTTAATTTTTGTATAAAGTCTTTATAGAAGAAATAAAAATTGAATAAAATAACAATTGTACAAGGACAATTGTTAACTTATACAAGGGAAGAATAATATCATTGCAAAAACGCTATCTAGAGTAACAGCCATAGCCGCACCAACACCTATCAACTAAAAACAACTATATCAAGAACAACAAGCAGACGAAAACAACAAGAGAATTGCGAAAACTTTTTGAACTCTGCCGTTACTGACCTTAAATTAAAATTAATTAAATTGCCGGATAATGATTGTGCTTTATATTGTGACATCACTTTTTCATTTAAAAAAACGGTGTTTGATGCTGTACACGCATTATCACATCCTGGTGTAAGGGCAAAAATCTATTTAATTAAGCAGCGATATATTTGGCCGACATTAAAAAAGAACGTAGCAATGTGGACTAAACACTGTTTGGAATATCAACGGACTAAGGTGACTCGTTATACAGAAAGTCCAATTAATACCTTTCAACCTCCAGCTCAACGATTTAGCAACGTTCACATGGATATATGTTAGTAGATCCGCTACCAGAATTTCAAGATTACAGATATGT